CTTCCCTGCGAGGGAGCATTGAGAAATACCTGCCCCAGCGAGGGGAGGTTCGTTAGCCTTGTTAGCAGTATGGTGGAATTTTTCTTAAGGCTACTTTAATTAACGGATCTCGAACGAAATTTACAATAGCGTCTCTCCTCATCTGTATTACTTAGGCCTTATCACCACAAATAATTTGTAGCATTTCAGAGGAATTGATTTCATGAAATTGCTCATAATGGAACACGGTTTTATCGTGTCCCTATTGCAGCAAAGATCGTAAGGCTGTTTATAAAGCATCGCGTTGCTTCAGTACACAAAAGTAAACGCAGCAAATGGTTTATCATTCAAATATCTTTAATTCATCATTAACGTCTAAATCAGTTAATGCGGGTGAAAGATTATAAGATTTCCGAGTGTCTGCATAACGGACTTAACACCGTTCGTTATTATGAAACTACTGAATATCTATTAATATTTAAAAAAAAAAACTTTGATGTGTTTTAGGAAATGAGGGTTCCTTTAACTTTGTTTCGATTTCAAAATTAAAACCGGGTTGAGAATAAATGCTAACGTTACAATCTCGAAGTAACTCTTCGCTATCGTTACCATCTATAATTTCTTCGTAATTACGATTCGAACGCGACGTAGATGGCATATCGTAATAAGACACTCGTTTACGTAGGACACACTTCGCGAATTAATTTACTGAAACGATGATCTCGCGTTGACGGTTACGCTTTGACCGCACAGGTTCTGTACAAGACGATGAGGATGACAAAGAACTACACGAGGAGCTCGAAGAGCTACTACTCGAGGCACTGCGACAACGCTTATTTCGTTTCTTTGTTCGATTGTGAGATCCGTTATTAGCTGTATCACTATGTAATGTATTCTCATTATTACTGTAAACATTTCCATCATTTGAATTATTCATTATAAAGTTAATGATTTAATGATTCTCTGAAAATATCTAGATAAAAGAATTTTATTATTGCAAAAAGAGGGTAGTTGATAAATTCTAAAAATAAATCATTACACATTTGAAATTGAACAATTTCGAAAGAAAGTAAAGTCTACCCTATGGATCAAAAATGATTCATATATGGTTGGCAAAATTGTAGATTTACGTACTTTGAAAAAATAAATAAAAAATTTTTGAATTCATTTCATGAATTTTAAATATAATAAAAGAGGCTAGGGTATCTACAACAATTGACTTCTAAGAAGAAAGATTCGTTAATTTACTCACTAGATACCCGTTGAAGCACGTCCGTGCGCTGCAGGAAACAAGACGCCAATGAAGCAAGCGCGCAAAGCCTGCCTGGTGGTCGAGTAGACGTCAGATGTGCGAGTGAAAGGCAAAATATGTAGAAAGAGAGGCAAATAGGCAAGCAGGAAACCATAGAGCCTATCTCAAACCATAAAGTTTCAAATAACGGTCAAGTGTTTAATGAAGTAATTATTGTGGGTGTATGCCCACAAGAACAGTAGCTTGAGTTATGCAACGTGTTGTATCTTATAGCTTTACTTCTTAAATGAATTGTGTTCTAGATTGAAAGTAACTTTATTTGGTTACTCATCGAAAGTAACGAAGGTGTCGAAGTTCATTTTGTAGCAACCGTCATTTTTTGCACAATCTTTATTAATGACTAAAAAGTTGTATGTATCTTTCCAAATTTTTGAACACATTTCCCGAAATTCTGACCACGACATATCTGTATTCACATGTCTTGTTTGAATAATATTATAAGGTTTGCATTGTCTCTTACTAGTTGTTTTGGTATTTTACTATATGTTTGGTTTAAGTAAAAACAATCAATAAATTTATGTCTGCCCATAGCGAAATAATCTCGCATATTAGTTTGATTCTCACAAGCAACATCATCAAAAATTATTACAGAATGGGGCTTAGCATCATGTGGACTGAGAATCAATTCATTATCACTGTATTTTGCAAACGTAACACTAGGTAGCAATTTAAAGACGTTCTCTAAATAAATGTACTTAGTTTGATACAGTGTTTTTGAGTATAAATATACATTCTTAAAATGTAATCCATTTTCATGCAACAGAAGACCTATTATTAAATTTGTTTTTCCACAGTTTGATGGACCGCAAACTATACACCGAACTGAATTAGGAAGCAAGTTTCCATGTCGAGAAATAACTGTCTCAGCATCTGAACAAATTCTATCCAATTGCAACGTTTCAGATTGTTTTATGAATTTCATAGTAGTGAGCAATTCTTTCGGGTGTTCTAGATAAAGTGAGTCAATTTGTACTTTGCCAGCGTCATCACCAACCTGGATATGATACATGCAAAAGCCGTCAAGGATGTTATCGTGGATCCTCCACCTCGTAACCGGTACTTTACAATAAAAACTGAGTTGATCAAGCGACTGACTGCTTCCCTCGAGAAGAAGGTGAGGCAATTGCTGACTCATGAGGAGCTTGGAGATCGAAAGGCATCGCAAATTCTTCGGCACCTGCAGGACTTAGCCGGTCCAAACGTACCAAAGGAATTCATCCAATCGATTTGGACCAGCCGACTTCCACAGAGCATACAGACCATGCTGGCGTCCCAGCCCTCACACTCTCTGCAGCAGCTTGCCTACCTAGCGGATCGCATCCAGGATATCACCGCACCTGGACAGATTGCGGAGACGTCATCCCGTGCCACAACATCCAGCAGCAGCAGCAACATCCTGGGCGAGATCAACGAGCTTCGCCAGATCGAGAAGCGTTTGGAAGCGAAACTCGACCAGCAGACGCATTCATCGCGCAGCTCTAATCGCTCCAGATCTCACTAACGTCGTAGTTCTTCGCGCCCAGGGACCAGGACTTCTTCGAGCTACCGCCGGTACCCCCTCTGCTGGTACCATTCCAAATTCGGCTCTGACGCGAAGAAATGCGTGAAGCCGTGCGATTTTGGAAGGTCGTCGTCGGGAAACGGCACAGGCAGTCGGTAATGGCGACAGAGGACTGCCTCACTTCACCAGGTCGCCTCCAGGTCCCAGTTTCTGGTCGACACTGGCAGCGACCTCTGTGTCTTCCCACGTAGCCAACTTCGAGAGCACCGCACGCCAACGAGCTACCAGCTCACTGCAGCCAATGGATCTACGATCCCCACCTACGGTTTCGCACATTTTAACCTGGACTTTGGTTTACGTCGTACCTTTCTCTGGCGTTTTGTGGTAGCGGACGTTACTAAGCCGATAGGCTTAGTAACGGCGTAATAGGCGTAGATTTTTTGTGCACCTATAATTTAAATGTAGACTGTAAGGATAGGAAGCTTATTGACAATATCACTACTTTGTTCGTTCCAGCTTCACTGGCTTTTAATTGTAAGGATGTCCTTTCGGTGAAGGTTCTGACTGGTGAGTCGCGTTACCACCTGATACCGACGCGTGAATTTTTAGAAATTACGCGACCAGCTGGCACTCAACGCACTGTACCTCATAACACACTTCACCACATCCGCACTACACCAGGTCCTCCAGTCTCATCAGCCCCCAGGCGCTTAGCTCCGGACAAGCTGAAGATCGCGAAGGCTGAGTTCGATGCCATGCTAGCTAATGGCACAGCTAGGCCTTCCGAGAGCTCGTGGTCTGCTCCACTCCACCTAGCGCCGAAGAAGGACAACGGCTGGCGTCCCTGCGGCGACTATAGGCAACTTAACGCACGTACCGTGCCAGACAGGTACCCCATTCGTCACATACACGGTTTTACTCATAGCATCTCTGGTTGTAAAGTCTTTAGCACCGTTGACCTTGAAAAGGCCTATAACCAGATCCCTGTCTGCGCAGAGGACATACCGAAGACTGCCATCACCACTCCCTTCGGTATGTTCGAATTTCCATATATGACGTTTGGTCTGCGTAATGCAGGCCAAACGTTTCAACGTTTTATAGACGAGGTGACGCGGGGCCTTGACTTCGTCTACCCATATATGGATGACATTCTCATATTTAGCCGCGATCACCAGCAGCACGAAGACCACCTCAGGCAGTTATTCACTCAACTGCGACACTTCGGCTTGGTCGTCAACGTGTCCAAGTGTGTTTTCGGGGCTTCCGAGGTAACCTTCTTAGGTTATCGCATTTCGGAGAGCGGAACCACACCACTGGACGAAAAGGTCCAAGCCATACGCAACGCAGCTCTTCTGGCACATCCAGATTGCCGAGCCAAGCTAGCGTTGGTTACAGACGCATCGGACTTGGCTATTGGTGCCGTTCTCCAGCAGCTATATGACGACGTGTGGGAACCATTAGCTTTCTACTCCCGAAAACTCAGCCCGTCTCAACAAAAGTACTCACCGTACGATCGCGAGCTTCTTGCTATCTACGAGGCCATAAAATACTTCCGGCACATGCTTGAGGCGAGGCACTTCACGATCTATACGAGTAGGGTAATATTGGGCATTCTGTCCCCCACTCGTTCGTGTCGGCGTTTTGTCGCCACTCACTCATGGAATGACAGTATGCCCAATATTATAAATAGATATTACATTCATTTGATTACGTAGTTTTTTTGACGAAAATCCATAAAATGTTTCTGATTATTCGCACTTCATATAAATAGTCAAATTTGTACAAATTGACTCATTTTATCTAGAACACCCGAAAGAATTGCTTACTACTATGAAATTTATAAAACAATCTGAAACGTTGCAATTGGATAGAATTTGTTCAGATGCTGAGACAGTTATTTCTCGACATGGAAACTTGCTTCGTAATTCAGTTCGGTGTATAGTTTGCGGTCCATCAAACTGTGGAAAAACAAATTTAATAATAGGTCTTCTGTTGCATGAAAATGGATTACATTTTAAAAATGTATATTTATACTCAAAAACACTGTATCAAACTAAGTACATTTATTTACAGAACGTCTTTAAATTGCTACCTAGTGTTACGTTTGCAAAATACAGTGATAATGAATTGATTCTCAGTCCACATGATGCTAAGCCCCATTCTGTAATAATTTTTGATGATGTTGCTTGTGAGAATCAAACTAATATGCGAGATTATTTCGCTATGGGCAGACATAAATTTATTGATTGTTTTTACTTAAACCAAACATATACGGAGGATGACATTTTGATTTTATCTATAGGAAGTAATGATAATAATCCATATGAAATAATTTCAAATCTGTGTAATACATTGTGTAATTTTAAAAAATGTAAAATTTTCGTGTTAAGTGTACAATATAATAATCACCTAAATATTCATAAATTAAATTCAAAAATTGATCTTATTGTAAGAAATTATGATAACTGTCATTTCATAAAGACTGATCAATTGTTGAAATCCTATATATTTAAAAAAAAGACATCAATAATTCAAAAAATTAGTTTTAAATTAAATATAGAAATAAATTTCCTTAAATATAAGCAAAAGTTCCTAAACAATATTGTTAAAATAAGTAATGATTTAAAATATAGAAACAATTGCGTTGTAAAAAATACTTTATTAAATAGTCAAAATCAACCTAAAATTATAAAAAAAGGCACAATACCATATTATTTTGGTCTCAAACAAAAAGATAGTAACACAAATGAAATTCCTGAACAATCATCAATTTGTTTTCGCCCCTAAGGATAAAAGGAATCATTGCTTCACAGTTTTCCATCAAAATATTCAGGGTTTAGTTTCTAAAAAGGAGTTGATAGAAATAACTCTTTCAGAAATCCAAAGCGATATATCTCCTGACGTTCTTTGTTTTACAGAAACATTTGTAAGGAGTGGTGAAGAGCTAAACATTAATATATTAAACTTTGAGCTTGTTGCACATTTTTCTAGAAATAAAAAAAGAGGAGGTTCTTGTATATTGGTAAAAAAAGGTCTCTCATTTAAGAAAATAAATATTTGTAGTGATGTTGCAACTTGTTTTCACTTTGAGTGCTGCTCTATTGCTATACCTTTGCATGGTTTAATAATCATTTGTGTTTATCGGTCATCAACTGCTACTAAAATACGACATTTTGAGTATTTTTTTGACAAGCTTGAACGATTATTGAATAGGTATATTCACAAATACCCGAAACAAAGAATAGTTATCACAGGTGACATCAACATTAATACTTTAATAAATAGTACAGAAACCAGACACCTGATGGATATTTTAAAAAATTATAATTTATCGCAACATATTACAGTACCTACCAGAGGTCTATCATGTATTGATCACATATTTAGTAATGTGAGAGGTGCTATAGGGTCAACACTTCCATTGTATTTGTCTGATCATGATACGACTCAAGTTTTAGTATTTAACACAAATAAAAAGATTATTACTCCAAAAGTAACATATATGTATAAAAGATGTTATTCTAAAGAATATATTGAAAAATTTAAAACTTATTTATCAAGTTTTTCTTTTTCAGAGGTATATGATGAATGTCACCCAAATATGGCATTTAATAAGTTTTATGATATGTTCTGTTTGTTATATAAGCTCTGCTTTCCAATATACAAGGTCAGAATAAATACTAAATCAAATCTACATTGGATTACAAAAGGAATTAGAAAAAGCTGTGTGATTAACAGAGTACTGCGATATAATTATTACAAAAAGAAAAATGAATTTAATAAAAACAAATATCTTAACTATTCTAAATTATTAAAAAAATGTATAATACAAGCTAAAAAACAAACCAATAATAACTACATTATTAATAGTAAAAATACGTGCAAAGCAACATGGAGAGTTATTCAGGATGAAATTGTTGCACAGACTCAACACAGTAACTCTTATATAGATTCAGTTGTATATAATAACAATATTATTAGTAGTCCTAGAACAATCGCAACTGTATTTAATGATTTTTTTATTGAATTGACAAATAAATCAAATGCTAGTATTAAGTATGAACCCACTAATGACATCTTGAATAATTCTATTTATCTTAATCCTATTGACAAACATGATATTGGTAAAATTATTAATTCGTTAAATAATACTACTTCTGAAGGTTATGACAATGTATGCACTAAAGTTTTAAAAGAATGTAAAGACCAAGTAAGTCCAATCTTGGCATATTTAATAAATCTTTCAATGGTATCCGGTACATTTCCAGATAAACTAAAAGTGTCTGTAGTTAAGCCAATACTTAAAAGGGATAATAAAACAATTCTAAATAACTATCGACCAATTACATTAGTACCTATCTTCTCAAAAGTTTATGAAAAGGTTATGTATGATAAACTCACATCATTTTTTAATAAATACCAGATTTTAAAGTCCAATCAATATGGTTTTCAAAAGAAAAAATCGACTACTCAAGCTGTTTTTGATTTAGTTAATACAACACTGCTATCAGTAAATGACAACAAATATACAACGGCTCTCTTTTTTGATATGACTAAGGCATTCGATTTTGTAGAACATAATCAACTTTTAATAAATCTCGAGCACTGTGGCATTAGAGGCATAGCTTTAAAATGGATAAAAACTTACTTAGAAAATAGGATCCAATCTGTGGAAGTTTCTAGGTTGGATACTTATAATGTAGCACAAAAATATAATTCTGATTTCAAGGAAAACAAGTTCGGAGTTCCCCAAGGCAGTGTTTTGGGCCCGCTGTTGTTCCTGATTTACATTAATAACCTCCCTAATGTTACAGAACATCAATGCGTTCTATTTGCTGATGATATATCAGTAATTGTTACAACGGATGGCACGTTGACGTTTGATGATCACAAAAATGATATTAAAACAACAATGGTATCTATAATTGATTGGCTCAGAAATAAAAATTTAGTTATTAACTTAGAAAAAACATATTTAATAAATTTTAATAACATTCATCCAATAATTAATATAAATTATGAACAGCAAATAATTACAAATGTCGTTTCCACAAAATTCTTAGGTATAGTAATTGATCAAAGACTGGATTGGAAAAATCAGGTAGAAAAAGTTTGCAGTAAAATTAACCGATTTTCATTTGCTCTTCATAAATTATCTAAGATAGCTACTAGGGGTACAGCTCTTACTGCGTACTTCGCTTATGTAGAATCCGTTCTTAGATACGGGCTTATCATATGGGGTAACAGTACAGAAATTAAAAAAGCCTTTGTTGCTCAAAAAAAATGTATTAGGGCGATTTGTGGTGCTGTACCTGATGAACCGTGCAAACCTCTCTTTAAATCTTTAAATGTTTTAACCTTACCTTGTTTATACATTTTTGAAGTCGCTAAATTCGTAAAACAAAATATGTGTCACTTTAAACAGGCAAAAAATGTATATATACGCAATACCAGAAATTGTGATAGATTGGTTACTGATATCACTCCAAGAAGCGCGAGATTCCAGAATAACTGTTATTGGATGTGTATTGTGCTTTTTAATAATATCCCCCTTAGCATTAAGAATCTTTCATTTAATAGCTTTAAAAAGGCACTATTTATTTGGTTGTGTGATAATGCTTTTTATAGTGTTAGGGAATATTTAAATCATACAAATAAGTAACGAATGCATATGTTGTGAATTGTGTAATGTCTTTAAATGTGTGATATTTTTGTTTGTTTGTTTTTTTTTTTTCTCTTCAATTGGACATTATCTACTTTTATATTGACACTGATTTTATAATTTAATTTGTTTGACATTCTTCAAGTGGGAATAATTATTGTACTCTTTAATAGTTTTATGTAACAATGATATTTCTAATTTAATAATTTTGACATACATATATCCAATGTAATTTTATCAATATTTGCATGCTATAGTTGATGGCTAAATGGGCTGAACTCAAATTTTAATTCAATCTACAATGTACCTCATTTAAAAGCAAATAAATCATTATTATTATTATTATTATTATAGTAAAATACCAAAACAACTAGTAAGAGATAATGCAAACCTTATAATATTATTCAAACAAGACGATATAAATTTACGACATGTATATGATGAACATGTGAATACAGATATGTCGTGGTCAGAATTTCGGGAAATGTGTTCAAAAATTTGGAAAGATACATACTACTTTTTAGTCATTAATAAAGATTGTGCAAAAAATGACGGTTGCTACAAAATGAACTTCGACACCTTCGTTACTTTCGATGAGTAACCAAATAAAGTTACTTTCAATCTAGAACACAATTCATTTTAGAAGTAAAGCTATAAGATACAACACGCTCCATAACTCAAGCTACTGTTCTTTCAAAATGGAAATGGAATTAAAAGCTGAGGTTGTTCGAGCTGCAGAAGGTGTTAAAAAGAAACTGAAGGAAATGCGTATGAGGGAATCTTATCAAGAAAACATGTTAAATACAGTTTTTCAACCCATCACTAAACCACTTCATCAAATAATTCATCATAACACAAATCCTTCAAAATCTAACAAATCTAAAGTCCATGAAGTACCTAAAGAAGACAATTTGAATACAGACTCTGAGAATACATATTTTAAACGTAACGATTCCATATCCGAGTCCCATGATAGCGATTCTGATGACAATATTGATGAAAACAGTTTCGATGGTCAAAATAAAAATAATACAAGCGATACATCGTTTGCAAAAGTCGAGACCGTCCATAGTCCTAACCGAGATGCTTTGTCTTGGTCATTATCTTCGGAAGTGTTTGAGGATGTGCCATTTGGTGTCAGAAGAGAACGAGGTAAACTATTGATGGGTAACTCACGTGTGGAAGTTCACGAGGAGAATATATCCGTAGCAGGTCGAGTATACAAGAAAACTCCTGGATTATATGAACTTTTGTTCAAGAGAGTTCCTGAATTAAATTTGGTTACAGAAAAAGATTCGCAAGTATATAAAACATTGTTGTTAGAAACAAATGCTCATCGAAGAGATTATGATCCAAATAAACCAATAAAAACTAATCGAGGTCGAAAGTATTTGATAGTAACACAAATGAAATTCCTGAACAATCATCAATTTGTTTTCGCCCCTAAGGATAAAAGGAATCATTGCTTCACAGTTTTCCATCAAAATATTCAGGGTTTAGTTTCTAAAAAGGAGTTGATAGAAATAACTCTTTCAGAAATCCAAAGCGATATATCTCCTGACGTTCTTTGTTTTACAGAAACATTTGTAAGGAGTGGTGAAGAGCTAAACATTAATATATTAAACTTTGAGCTTGTTGCACATTTTTCTAGAAATAAAAAAAGAGGAGGTTCTTGTATATTGGTAAAAAAAGGTCTCTCATTTAAGAAAATAAATATTTGTAGTGATGTTGCAACTTGTTTTCACTTTGAGTGCTGCTCTATTGCTATACCTTTGCATGGTTTAATAATCATTTGTGTTTATCGGTCATCAACTGCTACTAAAATACGACATTTTGAGTATTTTTTTGACAAGCTTGAACGATTATTGAATAGGTATATTCACAAATACCCGAAACAAAGAATAGTTATCACAGGTGACATCAACATTAATACTTTAATAAATAGTACAGAAACCAGACACCTGATGGATATTTTAAAAAATTATAATTTATCGCAACATATTACAGTACCTACCAGAGGTCTATCATGTATTGATCACATATTTAGTAATGTGAGAGGTGCTATAGGGTCAACACTTCCATTGTATTTGTCTGATCATGATACGACTCAAGTTTTAGTATTTAACACAAATAAAAAGATTATTACTCCAAAAGTAACATATATGTATAAAAGATGTTATTCTAAAGAATATATTGAAAAATTTAAAACTTATTTATCAAGTTTTTCTTTTTCAGAGGTATATGATGAATGTCACCCAAATATGGCATTTAATAAGTTTTATGATATGTTCTGTTTGTTATATAAGCTCTGCTTTCCAATATACAAGGTCAGAATAAATACTAAATCAAATCT